TGAATCATCCATTCAAATTTTTATGTCTTTAACCATGCAGAGTGTTAAAGGGAATGTGGACAACTGGTCAGACATTTGTGTAAAGCCCTTTAGGTCTCAACATTGCTGGCACCCTTTTGAATTCCCCCTATCTCTCTCTCTGTCTTTCTTTTTTTCTTGGCTGTTGTGCCACCATGGAGAAGGCAACAGTGACCCTATTGTGAATGGTGGGAATTGGGCAGCAAGCCAATGATGTCATCCTGCCATAGGGAAGACCAGGAGGAACGCCCTCCTGGCGTTGGGAATGCACTATTTTTCCCTGTTGTTTTCCGAAAGCGGTGATCAATTTAATTCCATCCTCATCATTCCCTGCTCAGGGGGAGCAAAGGAGGGAGGGAGGGAAGGGGAGGAGGAGATGCAGAGAATAGAATAAGAATGGGGCGCTCTCTTGCACTTCCAAAATGGGTTGCAACGAATGAGACGAAAGGAAACGAAAAGTTGAAGAGCACAGGATGGTCCAATGTGTTTAGATCCTTTTTTTTTTTACTTTAAAAGATGTGAATGAGGGTAATCAGCTTGGAATGCTGTGAGGTCACACAAACCTCCCCAATTAAAAGTTGCTGGGCATCGTTACTGAAGAAAAGAAGTGATTCATGAAGAAAAAGGGGAAATGGCTTACCAAAACTTACAGTCCCAAACTCCGAGACAGCCATCCAAACCAAGACATGACTTATAACATAGACACATACATTACATTATACTTAAGAGCGTTGTATCAATATCACTGTTACTTTTACCTCCTAATATTCAAAAGATAATGATTTATTAAAGCAGAGCTGGCAGCATGGAGCCGAGTATGGTAATGTTGGTCAGTTTGTTGGCCAATTGATCAGCCCACCACTTAGGCTCAACTTTAAAACAGCTACTGGATAGCCATGAAATTTCATAAAGGCTTTTATGGCCCCAAGAAAATGATTACTGACTTTGACTTCAGTGCTGGCGGTAGATCAAAGTGTTCACTTTTCCTGTGAAATATGCCAACACAAAGCAGAGACATTTGCACAAAATTCATGATTCCCGGATAATGAACGCTAATATCTTTGGTGTTCCCTTGACTTTCCATTCAGAGACATCAGTAAAAACTTCAACCTCCAAAGATTTTGGTGTATTACTGAATTAGTTTGAATACAACTGACATTTTTCTAAGCATCAACAATACTTGTGTTATGTGCTAATAAGCTAACTAAACGTACAAAGTTGCTCAGCTACTGAGCATCAGAAAGTTCACACCTTTTTTGTATGCTCCTTTAAGCTTAAATGCATTATGGGTGGGGTTGGGGAGGTCAATAAGGTCAGTTGAGCCAGGGAGTCTTTGAACAATGGAAAATTCAAAAAATGGTTGATATGATTACATAAAATCAAGTATCCTTGAGACTGGGTTTGGACTGCTCTTTTTGACTATCATCAGTGTCTATGCAATCTCTGATCTCAGAATCTGAATCAGAAATACTTTATTAATCCCAGGGGGAAATTCGGTCAGCAGTTAATTTATTGAGCGCAGTTTTATAATAACCTGTGGCATTTGTTTTCAAAACTACCAGAGTAAGTATCAAGTTGAAGTAGAAAATATAATCCTAGAAGTCCAGAAGAAGGATTTTCTACCTTACTCTATTTCACTACACCCCCCCCCCACACAAACTAAATCTAAAGCAAAACATTTATATTGAGTGAATGATGTTTTTCTGGCTTTGCTTGAGTTCATCAACCCCTGAGTTCAAAGCAGGCTGCTCCATCACATCACAAAGCCACTAAGCTGTTTAATATATGATCAGCATTAAATCACAGCTTTTGATCAAGCATCAAGCAGCATTTTCTCCATCATGACTGGAATTCCATAGTAGACACAAAGGAGGCAAGGCCCAACCCAGATTAATTTCAGATTGCACATCAGTTTGGTGCATGTTATACACTTAGAGCTATAATCTTTTCTTCTCCTGTCGTCTGAGGAAAGGGCAGAAATATCACTTTGAAGCTGTTTACTGGGTATTTGCAAAAATAACTTTATGATGAATTTTAAGGGAGAGAAAAAAATGTAGAAGGGGCTTCAAAAGTAGCGTTAACGGGAGACAGATTTTTGACATGCTTCCCAAGCCATCTGCTTTGGGTTAAGGCTTGGAGACAGAGTGGAATATGGAGGAGAGAGAAGAGGGGAGACTGGGGAAGATGGCGAGGGCAGCAGGGAATAGAGGGAATGCAATATTGACAGGCGGTGGTGGACAACTATTCATTTCCATTCTAATCCTTTTTATTCTGAAATGATGCTGCATGTGGTGTATATTCCACATAAAAATATTGAGGCAGCTATCATGCCATACTTTAAAAGAAAAACAAACATGCTATGGATCCAATCTTTGCTTTTGCTGAAGGATTTTTGCAGTTTTGCCAATCCAAAGAATCTGTGTGGTTCTGTCAGCCGGCCAAAGCTCCAACAGAGAGAGTTCTGCTGGAGACGCCACGACACAAAACTAATTAGGAGACATGCTCCAGGCATATCTGTTCATATAAAAGGAGGGGGGGGGGGCTCTGGGATTTCCGAGTTACACTATATCCACCACCCTAGGACTATTTCCAAATGGCCACAGAAAATTACCAAACTCCTTCACTTTCCTTATCTTCAGAAATGAGCTCATGTAATGCTGCAAGAAGATGTGAAATGCAAAAACAATGTTCGTTTTGTTCTGTGATGCTTTTTTTTTTGCCTTGGTCTCTGAGTCTCTCCTGTTTACGACCCCCCCAAGCTGTCTGTCTCCATCCACCCCCCCTGTGCCATTCTACCAGTCCCCAGTGGGCACAGTCAGCCAGTCTGGCCAGGCCTGCCCCTTGCTGTGCCCCTGCACTGGATAAGCTCCTGCCTGGACATTAGGTAGAGGCCTTTGTATGGAGCCGTGGGTGTGTGTGTGTTTGTGTATGTGTTAGTGTGTATGTGTGTATAGCATTCACAACACAAGGGGAGAAGGGGGTCCTATCTGTGCCTAAGGGCTGTCCCCCAACACACCCTCACCGTGCGCCCTATTGAGACCTAAGGGAGCGTGAACAATCACTGCAAAACCAAAGAGCTATGTCCTCTTGTTATACAAGCCCAATTTTCAGCACCAACCCCACCTCTCTCCTCCATGGAGTGTCTCCCCCCCGCACCCCCATCCCAGCACCTCAGCCCAATTCGTCAGAGGTTGACGGGCTTCGTTAAAGCGAGCTGGGTTCCTTTTATGGCATTATTTAATTAGCCATTCCACAGTAAACTGCTATCCGGCACCACCACTCCCCCCCCCCTCCATCCTCTTCTGTTTGTTAAAACCACCATCATCCTTATCAACACCACCACCCCTCCCCACTGTGCTCAGCGATCCCCTCCTCTCTCTCCTCTTCTTGTCTTTATCTCCAGTAATTAGCCAGGGGATGGGGGTGGACTCATTGCTGGGTTCCTCGACAGTATTAGTGCTTGACACTAAGACTTAGAAAAGGGAAGGGTCTTTCTCTGCATGCCCCTAAGACCTGCAGAGGAAGACAAAAGAAGGGCTAGTTCTACAGTAGCCAGCTCAGCCTTACTGTCCCCGCTGCCCACTGAGCTCCGTCTACACTGGCACCCTAATCATTAACCAGATTATGACTTTGTGTCTGCATCGTCTCTTCAAGTGGAATTTACTCTTTGGATGCAAAAGAAAGCTGGCTACTCCTTTAATGCCCATAAAGCCTTTAAGAACTGGTGACGGAGTAAAATTAGAGCGCTTGTGTTAAAAGTTATTCCTTACCTCAAAAAGGGAGCGTGTTTCTTTATCTTACTTATATTTCAGGTTGATTAATTCATTCTTGGCCTACTGGCTCCACCATTGGTTTTTCACATCTTTGATCACAAAGCTGGTGAGCTGCACCATTACTGTGAACTAACATTCCTTCCCCATGCACTCAAACATGAGCAGTCAAAGAGTGAGGGTGAGAGTCTGGGGAGCCCCCGGCTGTAGGTCTACACCATGCTGGATCAACGCCCTCTAGTGACCACTACAAAGGAGGAGCACAATGACAAGAAGAAATACCTCAGAGCCTGGTCAGCCTGTCCAAACTGTGAACACTTTAAACTACAGCTGGGATCAACCTGAAGTCTGAAAACATTGTATGACTGCTTTTAATAAAACAAAGAGTGAAATTAAGTTGAATTTGTAAAGTAAATACAGGTTTTCTATATCATTTTCATGTTAGTTCACATTGGTAGTTATTTTGTTACGCTTCTTAAAATTCAACTTCTAATAATAAAGAGGTTAGTATCATTATTGCTGCAGAAAATGTCTCCAATAGATTCACTTGACAGGTATTGGAACCTTTTCTAAATCGTTTTAAGTGGCATTTAAGGAGGACCGACATTGTTCAAAGAAGAAAGTCTAGCTTGGCCTTAATGACTGCTTGGCATGGGAAAGGTAGCGCTTAGTTATCCGTGGCCATTTATAGCCCTTAATTACGCGCCTATTTTGTGACCCCAAAGTTCAACGGACCAATTCCTGTGTAGACCCAAATTCTGACGAACAAAGGTGGAATGTGATGCCCCTTTTCCGTGGACAAGCTACTAAACGTTTCCCATCAATTTCATGGGAAAGTTCAAACCGAGGAAACTCTTAAAGGCTTGAGCTGGGTATTGACAGCGTGTTGAAGCTATTAGGGCATCACAGACACTCTGCTGATGAAGAGCGAAGGAGAAAAGAGTTCCTGTAACATCTAAAGTGTGTAAGACATTCAGAAATATTCACAGCTTTGTTTGTGTGCTGGAATACTTGACTGAAATACGGAATAAAACTGGTGCTTTAGGACCCAGTTGATCTTTGTGATTGAGGCTGATATTTTCCACGTTGTGCGGGGAGGGGGTGGCACGGAGGGGGGGCTGTCAATCATAGTGAAAGTGGCCGGGGTGGGCAGGCCCCTCTGACACTTTGTACCGTCGGAGGGGGATATTTAACTTGGGACTGAGCAGCACTCGCTACAGACACACTCACACACAGTGTGCCTAAGCAAAGAAACGCTCCAGCGCCAAGTCTCTCAGACTCCTGAAGTAGGAGCGACTCAGTAGAAGCTTCTGTATCAAAGGAGGAGAGACGCTCCCTCAGGGATTGACCGCTTGCATCGGCCGAGCAAAAAGGCTCCACGTTTTGGACAGTCTCGTTATGCAGCAACAGAGGGATTCAGAGCTTTTCTGACAGGATTCTGAAATGCCAAAGTGGAAGGAACTCTGAACCAACAGCGTTAACTGACTTTCTGCAGTTTGCATTTGATATGCACTGACACTGCGCGCTTTTTCCAGCCTTGTTTTTACTTCATGCACAACCAAGAGTTTTGTGGGAATGTTACAGCCAGATACCTTTTGTAAAGAACTGCTGTGCGATTTGGAACATCACCTGGAAAAGATAAATGGCTGTTATTTCATAAATTGAGATTGCATCCCACTGCGGCGCATTTTCTCGAAGTTTTTGGACTTTTTCAGAGAGTTGCACAAATCGACGGCGGTGGTACCCCACGAGACTGGCTGCAGAGACGATTTCTCAGTCCATGGATTGTGCAGCCCTGGGACCTTGTCAAACCTGAGAACGTCAGGCGACGTTAGGTGAAGCCACGTTTATAAAATCCGTGCGTAAAAATAACATTGGCCAAGGCAGCCCTCATTGCCGGGCGCGTGACATATCAAACTTGGTGAAGTGCTCTTTTGTGCGCCCTTCTCTCTGTGTGTGGACGCTCCGGATCTATTCTGTCTTTTTAGAAAACACTTCATTCCATGCAGCTCTCGCTTCGGCCGCTGTCATCCAGTGTAGACAGTTCGTCGTGGCTTCGAGTCCCCGGGGTAACCATGACAACCGAAAGAAACCCAAAGTGAATCCAAGGGAGCGGGTGAGGCCGGAGAGAGCGTGAATAGACTTTTCCCCATTTTGTTTGGTGTTTTTGTGTGTGTTTAGACTACACACTTTTTTTGCAAAGCAGAGGCTCTGCTCCGCGCTGCAGGATTGGAAAGTTGAAGGAGTGCGCCCAATGTCATTCAAACCCGGCGCGGTCTATTAAAAGTATTGCCTTGCTGGTGACTGAACTTCTACTATATATGAAGCCCCGGGCAAGTGATTGCAGAGAAAACAGAAACCGGGAAAAGAACTTGATTTAATTTACGCGAGAAGAGCCCGTGCGTAAAAAAGGGAGGAATAATGGGCCTCTCACAAACGCTTCTCTTCTACCTGCTGCTGTGCGTCCACCTTGGAGTTTCCCAGCATTACCTTCGCCTCCGTCCATCGCCCAGTGATCACCTCCCCGTGCCCGACCTCAAGGAGGACCCCGACCCGGAGTACGACCCCCGTGAGCAGGACTTGGCCGAGAGGACTCTGAGGAGAAAACTTGGCAGCAACTTTGACCCAAACTTCATGTCCATCAGCTCGCCTATGCTGGTGAACCTCTCCGCAGCAGACAACCAGGTGAAGCTGCAGGGGCCCATGCCCAACGAGATTAAAAAGCTGGACCTGACTGAGACCCCCTATGGGAAGCGGGTTAAAGTGGGCAAGAAGGCCCGCAGGAAATTTCTGCAGTGGCTGTGGACCTACACGCACTGTCCTGTGGTGTACACCTGGAAGGATTTGGGCGTGAGGTTCTGGCCGCGCTACATCAAGGAGGGGAACTGTTTCTCTGAGCGCTCGTGCTCCTTTCCCGAGGGGATGTCTTGCAAACCCGTCAAGTCAATCAACAAGATTTTTCTGCGGTGGTATTGTCAAGGGTTTCTAAAACAGAAATACTGTACGTGGATACAGGTGCAATACCCAATCATCTCAGAGTGCAAGTGCTCGTGCTGATTCTCTCTAAGGAATGAGTGGTGGTCGTCGCGGGGGGAGTGGACTGGAAATACGGTTTCTATTGCACTGTTAACTCTCTACAGAGGTGGGCACCATAGCAAATCTATTTTTTTATATAGCATTTTAAGTGAAATACCAACATTGTACATATTTAAGAAAATGCAGCTATTTTTTCTAATTGAACCAGGACCATATTTTATTCTCAACCCTGAAACGTGTTTTGGGGGGAACACGAGCACTTCAGAAGGAAGAGCTTTTTTGATATTTTTATGAGACATTGAAGATGGAATGCATATGCTACACCTCTCCAAGAGGTGACCTTTTTTTTCAACAGAACATTGATGCTGACTGTTATTTCACTGCAATGCTGCCTAGAGTTTTTGTATAATATTAATATCAATAATAATTAAATTGTAAAAAAAAAAGAAAGTTGAGGTTAAAAATATATATAAAGGCGTGAACTCAGCTTTTTTGGAATACATAGTATTGTAGAAATAAACAAATCTGTACGTTTTATTTATTATTTTAACGATTGTGAGTATAGAGCATAAAGAAAGAGAATAGCAGAGTATACCAGAAATAAATATGGGAGATGTTTACTTGAATATTTCTAAAAACTGAAAAAAAATTCAATAAAATAAATAAAAAAGTAAAACATATCAGTGTACATGTTATGTTTACACATTTTAGCAATAAAGACTGTTTTCAACGTGTTTTAGTGTCAAGCCATGTTGCTTACTACGAGTGTCTGTATCCGGGGGGCGTGTACACAGAACAGTTTCATCTGACAATGCTTTCTCATTTAGTCTTCACAAATATCCTGGTAAGAGAAAGTCTGCTGATGGCTCATAACATGTTTTCTTGTTGGCAAAAAAAAGTTTAATTTGGAATATTGCTATACCTGTGTGTCATGAAAATACAGTTTCTTTAAGAAAAATGAGTTTTCTTGAATTGAAAATGAGTAAATCTGAGCTACAATTTAGAAAAATGTTGTTTCAGGCGGACAGATATTTTTTACAGTGTACTCAGCCGGGCTCTTGAGTGGAGTGGAGCTACAAACTGCACAGTTAAGTCCAAGCTTCAGTGATTCTGTGTGGACTATCCGACGGTCCATGCACGCCTTCACAGTGATTTGAGAAAGGGCTGATTTACTACGCTGCGTAATACGCAACACATACCTTCAGCGCCTTCACAGAACTTGTATTCATTTGTCTCCGAGAGAGAGAGAGAGAGAGAGAGAGAGAGAGAAAGAGGGAGGGGGCACACACATCCATCTGCCATGTCTCTACGCACAGGCTCGTCTCAGGGGCTCCGAGGTGTTAACATAATGCGTAAAATATGATTCAGACATTTCAAACAGTGTCACATGATGAAATGGGGAGCGTTTACGCGCGAGCCAGGGGCGTCTGGGGTCTGTCCTTTTTACTCTGGAAGCTCCACACAAGTTCCACTGAGGTATTTGTATAGAGGTGGACTGGAGCAGACCGGCGCCTATTCAAGTCTGACCGCCCTGAAGAGAGAGAAGGAGAGAGAGAGAGAGAGAGAGAGAGAGAGAGAGAGAGAAACACAAAGCCCATTAAACAATGGTCAACTGTTTTTCACGTTAGCAGACTATTAATTGGAGAGCTGCTGTCTGCCCGTTAAAGAGATATGGCCAATTAAAGGCGCAGGGAAATGAAGTCCTATGAAATCAAAGAGTCGTTTTCTGTAAGGAGGAGTTTTATAGTGTTTATATTATTCTTTAAACACAACCAACGACTCTAACAGAGCTATGACTGAATGTCTGAAAGCAGCTTGTGTAGTATTTCCACTGAGCGCATCTTGTGTGCGTTACAGTGATTTGTGTTTCTTCGGGCAGAGTTGGATTTGACACTTGCCGCCCGGTTATTGTGACAGAACCACTGAGGGGATTTGGTAAGCAGAGAAGAACGGCAGCCTGCCAGCGGAGCAGGAGGAGGAGGAATAGGAGGAGGAGGGGGAGGGGGAGGGGGGGGCTGCTTTCCTTACTGTCAGCTTCTTTCTTGATGATGTCTCGGGGTTTTTAGAAACTGCGTCTCTGACTCGACGGCGCCACTCAGCCGCCCCCTCTCGACTGCGCAGAATGAGGCACTTTGGGAAACAGTAACCCTTTCAGGCTCTGCCCGGAGAGTATTTTAGAAGCGTGTGAAAGGCAATACGCCGCCCTAGCTTCAGCCAGTTAGGTGCGCACCTTTTAGAAACAGACCCTGCCAGCCAGTCAGATCAGGGGTGCTCAAAGCGGAGTCTTTGGACCTACAGGTGGTCCTTGAAGGAAAAATTGGGGGTCCTCAGCAAAACTATTAACAGAGAAATCGCAGAGTACTTAATTCATAAGATATAAGCACCTTGTATATAAAGTATTACTTTTTCAATCTAATTATCTTCAGACTGAACATTCTAGTGTTTTGATCAGGACTTTTGAAATAATGCATTTTTAAAAAGGTCATTATTTATAAACATAACACTTTACTGTGTAACTGTACTAAGTGTGACAGCTTTAACTTTCTTCAGGGTTTTCCCTCAAATCCAGCCCCTGCAGCTTCAAATCCACTAAATGAACTCCATCTACAAATACAAACCTTTGAATATTAAAATAGAAGCTAACTCATCCGGCTGTAGGTTAAATACAGAGCATGCAATGCTTTTTCTTCCAAATCTGCAAATCCTCAAACGAGAAAGACTTGTCCTCACTCATACATGTCGACTACATCACAGCTTCACACATTCATAAAATCAATCTGAATATATCACCGAATTGAATCATAAAATCTACTTATTGCTACGGACGGATCTTTGAGTGACACGTCATTCTGAAGAAAGGGAGAACATGTCTTCCCATAAACACCATCCAAGTGCCACATGTGAAGTGTTGACACATCAAAGCAGCGCCTGCATTCACATATTGTTCAAATAAATGTCAAGACATAATGGCCTTTAGCCTGTAAGACCCTCATGGTTATACTCTCACACAGACCCCAAAAATATTCAGACTTTTCAGTGTATTTTTTTAAATCATGTGAATTCAAATACGTCATAAAGCACACATTTATGTTGCCTGTTAGAAGAGTCAAATAAAGGCCTGGAGACAATTAGGATGGGGGATGATGGGGGAGGAATTTAGGAGGAGGGCTGGCAAGTTTCTGTGGTAAAGCTGATGAGGGTCCGTCTGGTGATGAGAGTCAATTATTATGATGGATTGTGATCAGCGTGTTAAACATGGGAAACACTAATCCATACCTGCACAGACACAACTGTGTATGCAGATCAGAAGACTGCACACACACACGCATCTGTGTGTGTGTGTGTGTGTGTGTGTGCAGCAGGCTGACACACACAGACAGAGACGGAGACAAGGGTCTGTGGCTGTAAGTAAGGCCCAAACCCCGTGGTTGTAAAAGCCAGTGAGTCAGCAGTGCTGAGGTTATTGATGATGACAGGGTATTAGATGGAGCACTGAGGGGAGGGAGGACGCACACACACACACACACACACACACACACACACACACACACACACACACACACACACACACACACACACACACACACACACACACAGATACCTTCACACACACACACAAATGGAGTCACCGCAGATGATACCCAGCATTCCGTCAGACCACCAACCCCGACCCGTGGTGTCTGGAGGTGTGTGTGTGTGTGTGTGTGTGAGAAGCTGTAGATGTGTCTATGAACATGGTGTGTTTTCACAGATCCTTTACAATCTTCCTGGTGGTCTTCAGATGATGGGTCACTTTATGTACCACCACAAGCTCTCTGATTGGCTAACTTTCTCACAGAGGTTGAGCCTGAAATGCCTGTCTTTGATTTAATGTGTGTGTGTGTGTGTGTGTGTGTGTTTGTGTTTAATGCATCTTCACATGTTCCTCTTCAAAACTTCCAGACTGATCCTAGTTCAGTCGCACATCCTGATGTCATCCATCCATCAGCCACGGCGAGCCCAGAATTCATAGCATGCCATTACATCAACACGGCGGCCATCTTTACCGACAAACAACAGGTGACTGTAATCAAACTCCAGCCATCGCCAACAAGCGGCGCTTATGACAATTAAGCAGACTGGTAATGCAGATGCATGCAATGCCACAGAAGGCACAAGTTCACTCATCCATCACACGGCTGTATTACTTCAATTTCACGTGCCCTACACAGATTGGTGGTTTGTTTAAGGCGTTAGGAGTTTCAAGTGGTTAAATATGGCCTTCAACTGTAATTTACTACAAAACTGAAAACTTTCATGGCTCTGATCCTCTTAAACTTCATTCCCTCCTGGAGTTCACTTTCTCTTTCTGTGATTATTGTGGCCTTAATGGTCTGTTTGTTTGATGTCAGTTTTTGTGTCAATCTGCGAAAGGAAATGTGTAAAACTGAAAAACCTTTAAAAGAAACTAGTCTTGTTCTGCATGTCTCCATTTGTAATGCTATACAACTGCACAAACACTAAACTACACATCATTTAGCAGACTAACATGGTTCTACTCATTTCTTGGGGTGCCATTACTTGGAGACAGGGTGCTGACTATCTCACTGTACTAATGCTCTACAAACTGACTCACATTTGAAACAGAGCCTCCGGTTGGTGAAAAGTTTGGGAAACACCCTTTGATTGGTAATGACTTGTTTTGAACATTTACACAACATTGTAGAACTAAGGGGATCGATATTTTGAATATCAAAGATGTGAATAGGGTGATGCATATGTTGACATGTGGAAAACATAGAGTTACAGAAAAGTTGCAGAGATTGGCAAAAACTGCAGAAAGAGGTGCTGTGGTTGGCTGAATACACTGAATCTTAACATCAAAACTTCCTGCCAATTCTTTTTACACACTTCATATCTTTATTATGCAAGCATTTAATTATCAAAAACCAGTTCAAATGTCTTTTTTATTTTTACATTTGTGTCTCATTTCTTCTTTTAAACACACATCAGTGTGCTTCTGGTCTATACGCTCATATGCTGCTACCCTTTTAATCAGACACATAGTGTCAGAGTCACATTTCTGTAGTCATGCTTGTTGATTACTCAGTTTAACTCTTGTTAGCTGTAACAGATATTGTAAGCCCAAAGTAAAGCCTAAAAATAGAGCTGTGGGTGGCGTGGCGCTCGCAGGGCTGGGAATAGTGCATATTCTGAGCTCTGTTTCCATGGTTACTTGTGCTTTCCCCCATTGGCAGCATGGGTCTCAAATTCAGAAAAAAAAGTCCCTTTGCATCAGTGGCTGCTGTTTTGTTTGTAACCCCTTTAAGTAACAGGATAATTTTACTTTTATCATGTTTTTTATGCTCAGCCATCAGGATGTGTGTGTTAAAGTTTGTGAACCGTGATCAGTACATGCCAGTGTCACAGACTTAGGATTGTGAGAGCGTTATGCACTGGAGCTAAAAATGTATGGACACAAATATATATATAGGCCAGACCACTACTGACTTCACCATCTTTACCTCATCAAGCTAAAATCAGAAATGTGGCTCATCTGTCAAACTGGACACAGAATCAGGACTGTTCAGACACCTCTGCAGAGTGAGCACAAAAAGGACAAACCACAAACATCTACATCTTTATCACACACACACACACATACATACACACACGTAGCCTCAGCATAGACATTAGAGTGAGACTCATCAGCAGCCCACACACACACTACACACTGCTGTAACAACACACACACACACACACTGCCTGTGTGTTGTTTACTTCTTTATCATGATTATAGACATACACTTAAGTTCTCACAAAAATTAAATTTATTTTCTATATCCATGTCGTCTGTGCTCATTGATTGCTGCTGTACACACACACAGCCACATACACAACCGCCCCCACCTTGT